GTTATCTTGAGTAAGTCTTAACAATAAGGTTTCATATTCTCCCTTTAGTGGCAGACACTTATTTCACCACCGTTATTAACAAGCGTTCACAGGATCATCTATTTATTCTGAGACTGTAACCTCCTTTTCGGGGGGTTCAACTTTGTATCCTCATTGCCTACAACATTGAGGGCACATAATAGCAATAACTGAAGAGTAAAAATTAACTTGGATCAATTCAACAAGCCCTAGGTGACTTATGCCTGCATATATGACAAAATAACTAAGTATATCTAGGAAGATTAAGCATTCAAGATTGTGTACTCTTGCTAATTATATTACACCTATTAGTTAGAGGTCTATACCTTTAAAATAGCCACAGACAATACACAGAATCAATCATGCAAACTCAAATTTGTTCAGAAAAACGCTGGAGGAGAGAGTTTTTACACTGATGGGGCCATCAAAAAGCTCCAGAAAAGAATCATGGACCAGGAATCAAGAGATGTACTAACTAGGGAAATGTGTGACCCTGGGCAAGTCATTTTTCTTCTCTTGACCTCAGGTCCCTCCTCTGTAAGAATGAACAGGTTGCTTTGTGTAGTGGGAAGCTCACTGAATGTGAAGTCAAAAGACTGGGGTTTGAATCCCAGCTCAACCACTTACTACCTGCGTGAATGTGGGAAGTCATCCTACTTCTCTGGTCCTCAGTTTCTTCATTTACAAAATGAGAGGGTTAGACCAGTTGAACTCTGAGGTCCCTTACAGCCTCAAGTCTGGTGAACTGATGAATGCTTCTCTAAGTGCTCTCCCCACTCTAAAATTCTGTGAACATTCTTGAAATAAAATGGAACACCATCACTTACTTCAAAGTCTTCCAAATACGCCTCCTACTTTGGAAAGGGAAGCACAGTGCAAATGCTAGCATAAAAGGGAAAAGCAAACCCTTACTTAGATAAAGAGTTTTTAACAAAGATTTGTTGTTCAGTTGGGTCTGACTGTCACCCAACTTGGGGTTTTCTTGGCAAAGATACTGGAGTGACTTGTCACTTCCTTTTCCAGATCATTTTACATTAGAGGAAAATGAGGGAAATGGTTAAGTGACTTGCCCAGGGTCACACAGCTAGTAAATGTCTGAGGCCAGATTTGAACTCAGGAAGATGAATCTTCTTTATTCCAACCCGAGTGCTCTATCTACTGTGCCACCTAGCTGTCCCCCTGCCACCTCATTCCCCCACCCCCCCACCCCAGGATTTGCAGTCCAGGTAAAATGTCTTATTTGAATACAGGGACTTTTGCACACTAAAACAAACTACAGTTATTATAAAAGTCAATACTTTAAAAACCTTCTCACTCGCAAGAATTCCAAAATTATGGACCTAGAATGTTGCCATCTCCCTGGCCTGCTAAACTATTCATCCTCTGATGTCTTTCTCCCCACAGTCCTGCAAAGAAGTGTCAGTATTATGTAAGTAATTAGCAACCATTACCTCAAATGGTCCTTCACCATTCACAGTGAGGCCCAAAGACATTTGGTTAGCCTTCATTTTGAGGGCCTGAATTCCTTAAACATTAAGGTAAATTACAGACTGTTTTCATATTAACAAAGTATATGTTTAGAGCTGGAAGAAAAAAATAAACTTTCAAAAAGGTTGTCAGGTTATAAGAGCCTTAACAAGAGCCTTACAGAACTGGGAATGGATCCTTCTCAAATAGTCAATTTTATTTCAGATAAGAAAGGAACACGCAGGATTGTGACTGAAGGGAAGGGGTAAATTTCCACCTCTACCCCCACTCTAGTCTCTTCCTCTTCCACCCCTCTCCTTTTCAATGAAACTATCAGACTTCATTATATTTCCTCTCCCTGGGCCTCAGTTTCTTCAACTGTCAAATGCAATGTTAAGCCTGATGATCTCTAAAGTTCTTTAGAACCTTAAGATTCTAACACCAATTATCTAATTAATCATTTGTCCAACTATATAGCAAGAGAGGCAGCCAGGTGCAGTGAGTGGATAGGTCAGCCTCACAGTCAGGAAGACCTGGGTTAAGACCTGTCTGACAAATACTAGTTTTGTGACATAAGGTAAAAATCCATCAACTTCACAGTGCCCCAGGCAACCATCTGAAATAGAAGTTCTTAATTTGGGGTCTGGGAACTCACTTTAAAAATTTAATAATTATTTCAACATAATTCTTTTGTAATCATCTATATTTTATTTTAGGCATTTACAAACATCCTAAGGGGGGAGGGGGGGGCTGAAGGCTTCACCAGACTGACAAAAAGATCCATGATACACACACAGAAGATTATGAAAGATCTCTGCTGCCAGACAAGAAGTTAAAGATGAGGTGGTGGTCTACCTTGGTTGAGGAAGTTTCCCTATTGGGAGTTTCTTGAACCAATGAAGTCATAGGTCCGCTCTGCCCCCCCTCCTCCCCAATGTAACAAGGACACATCAAAAGTAAGTAAATGTTTGCAGGAAACTCCTCTGCTAATTGGTACAACCTAGATCTTCTGACTACAAAACGAAAGGTCATGCTGAAAGTCATAGTGGCTAAGGTGGTGCAGTGGATAGAGCATGGAGCTTGGAATCAGGAAGATTTATCTTCCTTCATGAGTTCAAATCCAGCCTCAGAAATTTATTAGCTGTGTGACCCTGGGCAAGCCACTTAACCCTGTTTGCCTCAGTTCCTCATCTGTAAAATGAGTTGGAGAAGAAAATGGCAAACCACTCCAATATCTTTGCCAAGAAAACCCCATAAAAATAGGGTCATGAAGAGTCAGACGCCACTGAAACCACTGGACCATTATTAAGTACTGGTTCTCTTCCCTCTTTGCAAGCTACTGTTAATTAGATCAATGCAAGGAGTGTGGTAGGTGAGGGTAATGTAGCTACTCTGGAGGTGTGGGGACGGAGCCTTCAGGGAGTGCTGTCTCCCCTGCTGGAACAGTTCCTGCTCTCTTTCTCTAGCCTGAACGAATTTGAATACACAAAAGAAACACCTTGATATCTTAAATGATCATAACACTAGAATACACATTGAAAGTTGGAATAGCCCTTTAGCAACCTCCTAGCTAATCCCTCATTTTACAGAGGAGCCCCTGGAGCAGAAAAGCTCTTGCCCAAAGCATTATGATCTTTTAAACCTAACAATAAAGTTAACAGCTAAAACTACTCTGAGTTAATAGTATACATACACTTTTCGAATGTATATGGGGACTGGGGGAGGGGGTGATGGAGGGGAAGGAGGGGGAACCTCATCATTTTACTAAGGTTTTTATTTTATGGTTGTAGAATTTGAATTCAGTCCAGTTCGCACCTAGTACCTTTTCTAGTGTTTTTCGTGAGGCAAGACTCCGAAAAGTCAGACGTGAAGCTCGAGATCTTTCACATACTGTATTACTTTTTGAACAGGGCCTCCCATAGTTTTAAACAGTAAAATGGTAGTGAATGTCAACCCTTCTCCCAAAGTCTAATCGCTTCCTACCTCATTAACAAGAACACTTTCCCCAACCTCAAAATAAGTCAAACGTTTCAACACAACCATTCTCTCTCTGTCCTGTTTCTGTCTTTTTCTCTCTTTCATACATAACACACAGTCACACAGAGAGATAGATACGTCACATTCTAAGCCTAGACTAGCTGAAGTGGATATCAGAACTCTTTAACTGTAGCAAGTGGCCTCGCAAAGGGAAAAAAAAACAAAAGAAAATAAAACAAAAATCAGTATGAGAGCTAAGGGATTGGGAAGCCTGATCCATTCACCCCCCCTTTTTTTTCTCTTCCAGAACAATGCTTCAATTACCCAGGTTGTGTGGCTCTATTGTGGGCAAAGCCTGGGACCTGGAAGAAACTCTCCCCACCTCTATTCAGTTAAAGACAGACACTCAGTGTCTAGCCCCAGACATCTTAAAACTCCGAATCCTTTCTCTAGGAAGAGCTAAAAGCGCTCCGACTTAGCCGCGTCCACACCCAAGCTCTGAAACCACTCTTGTGAACCCAAGAGCCAACTGGAGCCCACGCGGCACCGGACCTATAGCCCCCCGGGGTAGCCTCGTGAGCAGAGCTAGCAGGCACCTTGGCTTTGGAAGGCTGGCCGCCAGGACACCTCTACATCTCTAAGTTGCGGTGGCAAAGCACCCGTGTGATCGTGCTTTTCCTGGTCTGCTGTTAAGTTCTAACAGCATCGTAAGATTTTGGGTTTGGGGACACCTCTAGGAAAGCTCCCCGTGCACCATCTCTAACTGCAACTCAAAGCTAGTGTAGGATTTCCTGCACATTCTTCCCTTCCCCCCAGTCCACATGGAGTTTGGAGAGCGCGCGAGTGCCAGCTTCTCCTAGAAATGCAGGCATCCTTCCCTGATTCGCCGTGCAGAAACTCCTCATTTTTTTTCCCCGCCCCTCGGCTCTTCTGGGAAGACAGCCCTTCCCTCTTGCCCCGAGGCGCGAGTTGAGCTGTGCTGAACTGAGCAGCCGCCGCCAGCCACAACTAGGGTCACCTTGGCTGGCGTTCCTCTCATTCTTGCGCTCCCGGAGCTGCAGGGTTACCGCCGGTCACCACCATCCGAGGCCTTTCCCCTCCCACGTCCCGCCCCTCACACTCCCCCAGACCATCACTGGCCCGAGCTCATCCCGAGCGGCTACGGTGTAATGCGGCCAAGGCGGCTGACCCTTAAGCACCAGAAGCTGCAGAAGCCCGGTGCAGCGGCCGCTCGGAAACCCGGAGCAACGGTGATAAGAGCAAACCATCTCCACCGTGTCTAGTCCCTCAACTACCAGAGAAAAAAAAAACTATGCACTCCCCACCCCTGGCTCCAGGCGCCCTTCTCCCCTGGGGAATGCTAGTCAGTGCCCTAGCAAGTCCTGTTCTGTCCCGTACTCTCTTCCTTCGCTGTTTCTCTGGTGTGCATCAGGTTCGCCTTTCGACCCTCCTCCTGTCTCTCACTCCCGCAGCCCGGCAAAGTTGCAAGCGAAGTTGGGTCTGCCCGGGAAGGGGCCCAGACTAGAGATGAAACTTACTGTTTGAGGCGGCAGCGGCCACCCCTCCGCTGGGCATGGCCAGGCTCTGGAACCACAAACCCAGGACTACCAGAAGCAACGCTTTGCCCTCCATCTCTGCACGCTTCCCTCTCAGCTGGCGCTGGACTGCACAGGCTGGGCTGGGGGAGGGCTAGGGAAGCCTCGGTGCAGGGCAGAGCAAAGTTGCCCTTTAAAGTGGAGAAGGGCTCCCGAGTAAGGAGTCTGACACTATTGCTACTCCGGGGCTTCTTATGTGACTGGAAATATGCAAATAAACCTCATCACCTATTGGCTATAAAATCATAAGTTGGGGGGAGGGCCCTAAATTCACTTCCAAATATTTGAGCAAATTGTAATATGAATCAACCCTGCCAGCAAGAAGAGGGGGAAAGGGCAGGAAGCGAAATTTGTTTTCTGTGCGCTTTTGCCCCTTTGTCTTTCCTCAGGTGGCCGATTCCCTAGGGCATTACATAATTACTAATAAAAGAGGAATAAGTATAAAAAATGAATTGGGTTCACAAAGATTTTTTTATTGCTGTTTTTGAAGATTATACTGTTAAACTGTGGTAAATCAGTGGCTTTGTCCCGAGCAGAGTGAATCTTTGGCCAATTCTCAACTTTTTAACATTCGTTCTACCTTCCCCCCCACCCAGTTCTCTGGCATTCAGTGGTGATTGTGAAGGGGGCGTAAACTGGCTTTCAGGATGTACTTAGGCATGTTAATGAGAAGGGAGCATCCAACTTCTGCACAAGACTGAACCTCATTTATGTTTCTCTTTTGTCCTCTTAAAATGCTGCGCCCTCAGAGATCCCCTCAAGGTACCCAAGAATTAGACCATATTCTCAAAAGATTGAATGTGGATGTCACATAACTCCAATTCACAGAATTTGGAGATGCAAAAAACCTTAGAGATCATTCTGTACAAACTCCTGATTTTATAAATGAGGAATCCGAGGTACAGAGATGGGAAATGATTTGCGCCAGGTCACATACAGAGAAAACAGCAGAGTCATGCTTCCAACCCATGTCCTTTGACTTTTTCCAGTATTTTTTCCACTGGATCACACTATTTGCTGTTAAAATTTAGAGGAATAAACCCATCCTAGACTTAATATTTTGCCAAACTTTTCCCCAAAGAGCTCAAAGTGATTTAAATTTCCTTACTGTTTTCTTAATCTTAAAGGATTTTGATGTTTTTAAAAATGTTGAGGGCAATAATATCAACTTAGACAAGAAAAATGCACTAATTTCTCTTCAGATGGAGAAACTGACCTATAATCTGAAACTTTTCAATCCCCCACAATCCAACCATCTGTTCACTAGAACCTCTGGCTCTAGACCAGAACTCCTTCATTCTTTATACAAATGCTACTGTTTGCATTTGTAAGTTACCAAAATAAGAAGCCCTTTCTAAAAAGTGTATACTGTACTTTTGAAAAAGTTCATATGCTAGTTGTTACTCAACAAATGACTAACTATACACTGATAATATCTAAATATCAACCTTTCTTTAGATTTTCTAAATATGAATATCAAGCATAAATTATTTTTAGGTAAAACTACATACATTCAATGTATACAATTCATGTCTTGGACAAGAATATTGAAATGTGTTTAGCAGCGAATATCTCACTCAAAATTCCAACACCAATCTCAATTTGGGGGGTAGGGTGAGGAGGGAAGGAATCAGAAATCAAGGAGATTGCCTGAGATTGACAAAAGTTAGCTTTATTGTTTAATCCTTTCTTTTATTTCTTAGTAAAACAGGAATATTGCATTTATTGTCTCAAATGAGATTGTTTGCAAAGCATTCTACTAACCTTATAGCCCCCTCTAAATGCCAGTTATAATAATAATAATTATTATTATATAAAATAGTACTAAAATGTATTATTACTCTAAGAAAAAAAATTTAAGTATAAACAGTTTTGTAATGGCCCTTGATTTGCTAATTTTGTGTGTCGATTAATTGGCCTAAATTTTCCTGGAAGAATGAACTCACAGCAACTTCTATCTGCTTGAGATTAAAACTAAATGAAAAAGAACATTACTAACTCTCTCTTCTCCAGGGCATAAGTAGTTGACAGGTGGGTGTGGAGGCTAAAGATCTTCTCCGATTGGCTGTTCTCCCTATGCCCATCAGGTGCCTAAACACGAATACCTTGGCTCACATGATAGCCAAGCTGTTCCTGCAGTGGGTTAAAGATGGGTCTGTCCCAAGCTTTTGCAAGGTTATTTGGAGGATGAGGGCAAGAGAGGTTTGGCTTTTTGTAAAAGGCATTTCATTTGTGGCAATGTCCTCTTCCAAGTGAAAGACACCCTCAGGCCAGAGGCCTAGGCTTTTATGATGTCTTAATATTACCCTGGAGTCAGTCCTGCTTTCTCATAGGACAGAATAAAATAAAATTTACATTCTCTGTGAAATATATCAATGACTTTTAGGACTTTAACTATGGAGAAGTTTTTTATGACCCAGAGTATCATAAAGATAGCAAGTAAGTATCTCTGGAGCATTCTTTGAGAAGAGAACAGGGTGTATGGCACATTGATAATTTTTTATCATTGCATTTTCAATCTGGAGGAAGATAGGTCCCCAAGTGGGTGTTTTTTTCATGTGTCTATTTTAGGGGTAAGAGATGACCCTGTTGTAATCTATTGCAGGCTATGTCTACCCCCTCTCAGGTCTTTAGGATGGCCTGAGAATATATACACCCCCCCCAATTGTATGTATTCTTAGAGAATTGCCAAGAGATTGAGATTGTCACTTGTCCATGGTAATACAGCCTTCTTCAGAGGCAGGATTTTAACCCAGGTCCTCCTGGCTCTGAGGCCAGCAGCTCTTTATCCACAACAGACTCTATCCACCACAATGTCTCTCCAAAAAATAGATAAATAAGTAAAAATGTCTAAAAATAAAATCATAAAAAAGAAAAGTGTCAAAAACTTTTTTGAAGAAAAAATTTATTTAAAAAATTTTATAAACAATAAAATACAGAAGATCTTTACTGAAAGAAATATTTAAGTAACCCCCACTATGCCCAGAAAATTTCAAAGACTGAGTAAGTGTCTGTGCAAGTCAAACTTGAGGGTAGACGGTTGTTTGAAAAAGAGGCTAAGGGTCAGTAGGCTTGGGTTGCCCTCAGAATACTCTGCAATTAAACCCTGTCTACTGGTGCATGAGATTGGAGCTGCTGGGTTGGAATACTGATGAATGGATTTGGCTATTCATTCAGGCCTCCATGCTTCCTCAGTACCCATGTAGCTACAACAGCTAGGCCTGCCTGGAGAGTTTAGCATTCACAAAGAGCCGTTCTAGGGAAGTTCTAAGGAACCAGGTTATGTGGAGATTTAACTGCAAGCACAACCTGGATGCACCAGCCTCCAATAGTAATAGCTGATCATCGTCATAACTGACCAAAATGCACTGAGGGAATGCTTGGGTAAGCAAGCAGGGATGGATTTTGGGGAGGGCCGTTTCAAACAAATGGTGGGAGTGGGGGAGAATTTGAAGAATGTTATGTAGATAATCCAGACAATTTCTTAAGCTTTACTGCAATCTTGCTGAGGTTGGGAGCGCTCAGGGGGAAAACACCAACACTTTTTAAGCCAGTCATAAGACCCACAGCCTAAATAATGAAAGTAGTGTTTTAAAGAAGAAAAAATAAAGGAAAAATGAGAACGTTAAAAAAGTAGCAAATCACCAAGATAGTTTATATATTCATATATACCTAATTAATGGGCCAAGATGTGACAAAGAGATAAACAGGGTCACATAGAAAATACATACATACATATAGCCACTTTGTGAGTGATAATTTTCTATGGGGAAGGAGTAGGGAAAGGTTGCCTTGAGGCAGCTAGGTGGAACATGGGATAGAAGACTGGGACTGGATTCAGGACAAATCTAGCCTAAGACAGTAGCTGTGTGACCCTAGCCAAGTTATTTAATCTCTCTGAACCTCAGTTCTTCTGTATAAAGGGACTAATTATAGCACCTACTTCCCAGATCAAATGAGAATATTTCTAAAGTGCTTAGCACAATGTTTGACACATAGCATCCACTTAATAAATGCTTGCTCCCTCTTCCCACCCCTTACCCCCAATGGAACTTTTAGTCACTTAGGGAGAGGTATATATTTCTATGGATTTAGAGACCTATGATTTCATTTCATTGGTGTGTGCAAATATCCTCCAGATTATCCTCTACAATCTAAAGAATCAACCCCTCCTGTTTAACTTAGAATCTTCAAAAGTCGAGAGGATAAATGATTTGCCCATGGTCAAGCAGACAAGTCTTCCTGACTAAAGTCCAGCTATTGTGTCCACAATGCCATATTACCTTTCAGAAATATATAGTATACACAATATAAAACACCATATATGTATGTATATGTATATATACTCTCTCTATGTATGTATATACATACATGCATATACACATATAGGTGTATATGGTGCTAGGTGGTGCAGTGGATGGAGTGTTGGGACTGGAGTCAGGAAGACTTGAGTCCAAATGTGGCCTCAAACACATACTATTTGTGTGACCCTGGGCAAGTCACTTAACCCTTGTTGCCTCAGTTTCCTCATCTGTAAAATAAGCTGGAGAAGAAAATGGCAAACCACTCCAATATCTTTGCCAAGAAAACCCCAAAAGGGGTCATGAAGAGTCAGACAGAACTGAAACAGCTGAACGACAAAAAATATGTATGAACAGGGATTTCTGTTTTGTACCTTATTCAAGCCAGAAAAATGACAAGTACATTGGTTGGCTCCTCCATTAGACTCTAACCCCTTTTAAGGACAAGGACTCTGTCTTGTTCTTTCTCGATCTTCTTTGTAGCATCTCCCCACCACCACCACCACCACTACCACCACCCTGACTCTCACCTAGGCTAGCCAAAGCCTTGAGCTTCAGAGATTCTCCATACCTGTTTGTTGAATGAATGCCTCCCACATTTAGATCAAACACAATGTTTTTTCTCTTCCTTAAATATTGTAATGCAAGGAGAAAAGATGAATTACTGTGATCTGAAAAGGGCTATCCTACACACCAAAAACTTTTTATGACGACGGCCTGTTTGGGTCCTTTCTTCTCCTAGCTACAGTTCAGGTGCCCCCTGCTGGTTCCATAATGATACTGTAACATCTCCAAAGAATTACAGCTTGTTCAGAGGCTCTCTCTAACTCTTGTATTATTCGCTCTTTAATTTTAAATGTGCATC